GCAATTATTATTATTTTTTTTTTCTGAGAGCAGTAAAATTAGTAGTTTTATATTATTTACTTTTAAGTTTAAATTAGACAACAGATATCATTTTTAATTTCAATTCACAAAATTATGTACAAAAAACCCTGAATATACATAGTTTAATGACCCAATATCAAACTATACGTGTGTTTACATCTACAAATGTGAAGGACTACAATCAATTGTAATATCACCATTATTGATTTAAGATAAATACATCCAATGCAATATTGTCTAATAAAATTAAAATTAACTCGACTGCACAAGAGACATGTATGTTCACGTTTGTACATCTGATATCTTACAAATACAAACGAAAAGATGTAGCCATTGTGATTGAATTTGAAATTTAAATGATACATCAATCATCTTGAGAATTTTTACGATTAAACATTAGATATACACTATTTTCATGTGTAATATTACATGATCGGACCTTCGACAAAAACGGATATAAACAAAAAATAATAATAATTATTATAAGATGCCACATTCATATTCAATTAGAATATTTACATTGTTCTAACATATTACAATACTATTATATGTTGGTAAAATACAAATTTCAAGCTTAAACTCAGTTTTTAAAATTATCAATAATAGAAAAATTATATGTCAAGCTAATTATTATTAACTTACAAAAGTATTCAATAAATACCCACGACCCCACGTACATTTTTCTTGTACTTCAAAACTACAATTTGCTAAACCGCATTGTCAAATATTAGTTATATAATATATGTAATTCACTTCAAAAGATTTAAAAAAATCAAAATAATCTTTGTACCATTTCATCAATCTTACATAATTTTTTCATTTTTCCAAAAAATAATGATAATTTCAAAATAGTTAGGTCAATTTTTAAGCTTTCAAAAGACGTTTCAATAAAAAAATAATAAAACCGAAACCAGTTAATGTTGTCATTATAAAAATAAAAAATTTATCATTAGAAAAAATAAGTGCTTGTAATAAATTATTAGTTCTCTTTGATAAGCTAAATAGACTGTCTTAAATGAATTTAAGTAAGTGATACATTAAATTGTCAAACAAATATAAAGACACATTTTTACCGCAGAAACTAAGTAAAGAAATAGCATTTTTAAAACTAACACTCTAATTTTCATAAAATTACATGTATGTAACAAATCTCTTATCTGTCTACATTCTTTTTATCGTATAGACCCTCAAATTTTTATTTAAAGTTTTTAGTCGGAAAGTGCTAGTCACACATAATTTTGCTGCAGTTATTGATTCGGTTAAAATGCACTGAAGACTAAGCCAAAACTGTCCGCATTCGGCTTGTCAGCTCGGAATTAAGCTCTTTGTCGGCTTCGATCCACGATGGATATCACAGCATGTTTATGAGAAAATATTCCGGGCATATATAAAATAAGCCCAACCGGTTGCAGCATCACGTTTTATACACAATCATTCGACATTCGACTACCAATCGGGATTATAATATTATGTACGCTTAAAAAAACATAGTCTTTTTTTTCAAGCGTTTTATCTTTTTGTATATAAAGATGCAATACACCAGTGCAGGTAGAATTACATGTAGAAGCGGTTCGCCCACTACAATCGAGAGTGTTAATGAACGGACAGGTGACAACCGACCGGTAGCTGCTGAAAAATAGAAAAAGTCTTCGTGAATTAATTCTCAGATCCAGATGAGTATGTAGTAGATAATATGCAGTAGTCGATGCTTCCCGTCCATAAAGAAACGATTGAAACACCATTGGATTTCTTCCTATACTCATTCTCTCCTCTCGCATACCACTTAAACGATTATTCGTGAACACTTATTAATGGCTATAATGGACTCCACTTAAAAATCTTAAACGATCCATTAGACTGATACATGTTGCACAACGAATTGCTTTACTAGTCGACAATAGTTAGACATCTAAATTTTTTTGACGATAAATGATGTAAAATTCGATGCAGCAACACATAAGATAAAAAAATTAAAAGAGCTATGAAGTTCAATAAAAACATAATAATTCCTGTTCTCTGTCTCGAAATTAATACTACTAAACAATATTATCTAGTAAAGCTAGAAGACGTTAGAATGTTCCTAAATGAATCTATATCTTTTTCATTTTAAAATAAACTCTATTTTAGTTATATCGAAGTAGTGCTAAAATTTAGCAAGAACCCAAGATAAAAAACCTCATGGAGAAAAATTATAGCGTAGAATGGAATAGAAATATAATTAAAAATAAAATAACAAAATCAGGGTTAATTTTTTGACAAAATATAAATGTATTACTGAAATTCAAAATTCCTTCGCTTACTATTCGTAAACTTCCTTTAATTTTTATTAGACAACAAAAATATTTATGAAAATAAAAAACAAGAAACCATTTATTTTTACATACAAGGTTGCAAGGTATTGTTCGTTTTGAACTCAACCTGTCTAGACCACGATTTGTCCGGTCCGGTCTTATACTTAAAATAAAAAATTGATCCGGCAATAGTCGGTTCGAAATAAAAAATGATCAGTTAAACAGTTATTGAAAAATTGTGTACATAACTTTATAACTGGGAAAGTTTCTACCAAAACCGTTTTAATAACAATAATATTTGATAATGTTTATGTACAGAATAAAATCGCAATAAAATAAATAATACATCTGAAAACAGTCAATATGAAAATAATATAAACAATAGTAAATGTTTCAACAAAACAAATTATGTTGTTGAGAAAACAAGTCCAGTCATCTTCTCACGCATTTATGCCGCTATGGTCTACAAGAATTGTAGTTAAATCTTCACCAAATACAGCAATAATGTATCTAATCTGCACAATAAAACTTATATACTTCTTCAAATCCAAAGTGATAAGTAAACATGACGTATAAAGTTAAATGTCACAAATTTACTTTAGCGTTATTCAACTACTGGCTTCTACTGATAGGACCACTGAGATAGTTACTCTATACTCAAGTAATAGAGACATGAATGCATTATTTTACATGTTTAATGTCACCACTAGTTTGAGACGGTTTATGACTTTGGGAATGACCTTTATCTGAAGGCGGCAGCACTTGAGATGACCATCAATGATACACGAACATTATGGTAATTTAATAAAGGGAGACTTGCTGTTGTTGACATACACCATTATTGTCATTTAACTTTTTTTTTTTTGTTAACTCTTTCCTTTTTTCTTATCTCGATATTATACGCGTGATTTCTTTGTTTTCGGAATAAATCATCTACTGATCGCTTTCCCACTCGAAACGTTAGCAGACAGATTGTTCGATATGCTCAACCGAATTGTTGTATACTTACAAAATTCAATTCGCCGTTGGAAGTTCAACGGTTCAGGCGATTTCACAAAAGCGGGTAAATTTCAATGTGATACAATTCCGAACAATGATTCTACTGTAATACATAAATACATCCGCAATTGTGTAATAACCGTCATTAATGGTCAACATCAATGACAGAAAACACAATAGAAATCTTATGGACTTCTTCAAAATAACAGGAGTTTTAACTTAGTTGAAAAAATTAGATAACTTGGAAAAAATTAGTCTTTGAAGACTTTATATTAAGTTATGTTATAATTGTATAGCATTATGTTATATAGCATATTTTAATCAATGTTTGTTATGCATCAGTAATATTAATGAATTTAAAAAAAATTTTTAACCCAGACATATATTTTTTTTATTTTATTAGGTGTTATAGATATTTTAAACTATTTTTGTGGATAGGAAATAATAAGCGTAGCCTACCATTCATCAATTTTACTCTAACTGTTCCCATGATGATGTTAACAAGTACAATAAATAAAAAAACAATTTTTTTTTAAACATTGATATAACAGTATAACCAATGGAATTATTTGTGTCAATTTTAATGGTTTTCTGAAAACCCCCAAAATTGAAACAAATAATATAAATGACAAAATACACTGTGTATTTTGTCATTTATATTTCTCATATTATACAGGGTGTTCAGTAAGTCAGGAAACGGGTTTCTATTGTTCTTATTGTTTGTAACAATGAGAACAATAGAAACCCGTTTCCTGACTTACTGAACACCCTGTATATTTATAAGCCATGGTCTTTATACTTTTGTTTGTAAATAACTACATGTTAAATCAATGGCACATTTTAGGGGGTTCATAGGGTTCATAGCCTATTTTTAACTAACAGGACGTTGCATAATATAACACATCCAAGAAAATTTTTACCCCTATTATATTATACTTGAATTTATCTGATCAGATCGAGCAAAACTTAAAGGAAAATATTCTTGAAATTTCTGGTTTTAAATCTAAAAGGTTTTGTTATTTCACCATATAAACCAAAAATATTAAAAATAAATATCAGTTTTTCATCAATTATTTTAATCGTTTGTGTTACATCATAAATAGTGTTTAATTGAATATTTATTTTTCAGAGATGGTTTTGAAATATTTTCGTAGAGCTATTGCCTTTTTAACAAAAAAAAAAAGTAATAAAACATTAAAATTATACTAATAACTTATAAACTATGATTTATAAAAAATTTATAAAATAAATTTCAGTTTATATATTTACATTTTTTTTTTTTAACTATTATATAGTTTTAAATTTAGTTTTGAAATGATTTAGTTTACTAAACACTGTCAAAATAATAAAATGGCTAACGGATCTAAATAATTATGTTAAGTAAACTATAAAAGAGAAGTGGTTTTTGCAGTGAAAACGTTTTTCTAAAAGACTCTACCATAAAATTGATGTATTTAACATATTTCAAAATAGATCATCCCTAAAATTATATTTAATAATGCATTCAAATTTTGTTTTAAAATTAAATAAATCAACTATAATTGATTCTATAAAATGACAGATACTTAGTAACTTTTCAAAACAAAAATTAAAAATAATTATAAAATATCTAATTAAAAACCTAATGTTTTAAACTTTGGTGACACGTACTTAGGCAATCGTTCTAAAGTTGAAATGTATGAAGATTCTCTTATTCGTAGTATTAATCAACTGGCCAATTTCGAACACTATCATTCAAATAATTCATCATAATCTGAAGTCCCAGAAATTATTGCTACTTCAGTAATGGAGGGAGAACATAATCCAATTAACCGGAATTTGTCATTCTGTTTAAAAAAATCAGGTTAACTCTCTTACATAAACTCAATCTGGAAGGCTAGGGGTCTTAGACACCTCAAATTCTGCCATCGCCATAGATCTTATAAATTTATATAGGACATTGATGTTTTATCATTGAATACTGTGGTGATAGTAATTTGAGGCTATTTGTTTGCATTATTACATGATAATATTTTACTTTTTTTTATTTAATGGTTAGTAGTTATTAATTAGTATGAGTTATGTAATAATGTAAAACTAAATTTAAAAATTAAAAAAAAACACATTATAGTAAAATTAATACCTTCTCAGCTACGCATCGAAGCTAAAACAGTATTTTATGCGCTTATCACAGTTAAAATGTAAGCAAACGGAAGATTCTCCCGTCTTTTTAATACAAGCATTAACTTAATAAATAATAATACTAAATTAAAATTTTAAAAAAGATATTTTAGGAAATAATAGTATTTTGAATGAGCAAACAGTTCCAGTAAAACAGGATCAGCAAAAAGAAAATGAAAAGTTCGGCAACAACAAAACGGTCAGTAAAACTTAAATACGTAAAAAATAAATATACAGTGTCTTTAAGAACTTTTGAATAATTTATAGATGTTGGAAGAAACTCCTAATAGTGTTTCGATGCCTTCCGCGGTGAAGACTTCAACATCAAACATGTATAATGGTGACAGTAAAATATTAAAACGGAATACTACCAAATCATATAAAACAGCAGAAGAACGTATTCCTAGTTTTTATTTTATCTCGAAACCAGTCTGTAAGTTAATATTCAGATGTTTTTAGTGAGTTTTCCTTAAATTTTTTTTATTTTTCAATAGGTTCAGCTAAAAAAGTTAAAAACCATTCAAATAATCCAAATAAATCCACAAATATGGTTAACAGAGATAGTAAAAAATTAAATCATAAAATGGCCAATGTATTTAAGAAGACAGAAGAACGCATTCCTAGTTTTCTTTCTATCCCATCACCATCCTATAACGAAATATTGAGATGTTGATTTTTCAATAGGCTCAACTAGGCATAAAAATGTTAAAATTCACAAAAAAAATCCAAGAAAACCTATGCAATCATAATGTAAATCACATATGTAGTAAAAAAAAATTGTAGATTTTTGTTACCGAAAACTAAAAACAAATTGTGTGTACTAAAAAAATGCACGTACGAAGAAGGCTCACAGCTTTCTTGACTTGATAGATATTTTATTTTAGTTATAATTTTGTTACCTATAGGTATAACTTTATTTTTTACGCTTTTAAAAAAAGTGTAGATATAATCATAAAAGTTGACAATAACAAAGTTTTTACTCTTTATGTAGAAAAAAAAAAGTATGATGAAACAGTAACATGAAAATGCGTTATTCTCATTGTGAGTGTCATATGCAACTTAAAAAAGTCATATGTTTATACATCACATTTATATAATAATAATAATAATTTAGGTATTTACTATTTGCTAATTATTTTTCAAATGTGCATTTTTTTATAAAAACTTATAATTATTTATTACTTATGGTTTTGTTATTATAAATAAATTGTTTAAATATTTGTTAATTTTCTTTTACAAATAATTATTTTTTTAAGATGATAATGTCTAGCATCATAGTTGTATATCTAGACATATTGTGTAATTGCACAAAAAAAAACAGTAAAAGTTGAATAAAAAATCATTTATGAAACATGATTTGATTTAGACTTTATTTTATCCATTGATTGTATTTTTTGATTATTATTATATACATAATATATTATTTACTAATACTTACTTATTTTAAATAATAATTATAAATATCAATTTTAAAAAATAAATAATAATAGTAAAATCAAATAAAACATATCCGTTCCTGTTTTGGTATTAAGAAGTTGGTCCTTATTGAAAGATAATCTTAAAAAATCACTAAATTTCACGAGTTGCCACCGGGTTTTCAGATAACATTTTTTTAATTTAGAACAATTTGAAATAAAATCAAACTTCCATATTCACTTCCACTCATTTATTACATTTATATTTTTTAAAATGTGACTATTTAAATGTTTTGGGGTGTACGATATAATATCATAGACATTCTATTTAAAGTCAATTTAAAAAACATCTGTCAATCATCTTGGAATATACATATACAGGGTGATTTTTTTATCATAACCCACTCAATTACTTACAGAATAATAATAATTTAAACATTTTTTTTTATTATTATCTTTAGTTACACATTATTCTTGAATTATTAACTATGTAATACTTTTTAAGTTCATCCCTTATGCCTGGTAAGGGTGTCAACTTTGTTTTTTTAAATGGTAACACATATTTTTAATTTAATAAAATGTTTGAGTTTTTAATTCAATAATAAATGGCATTTGAATTTTTAATAAAACTTAATTTGTTTATTAGATATAAACATTTAAAGTTTCAAATTTTTGAGTTAATATATAGGTATAATACACAAGGGATTACAAATACAGGTAGCTAATTGGTTTTTTATGATATTGCTATCACAGTCACGGATTGTTTATTATCAATTATGACTATCAATAGATATACTTTTTACAATACAGTTAGTGTATTTATAAACTCACAACAATGTACCTTACTATCATTGATAATAACAATGCTGTGTACCTGCTAATATCGATGTCATAAAAAATCAATTAGCTACCTGTATTTGTAATCCCTTGTGTATTATACTTATATATTAACAAAGTTGAAACCCTTAACAGGCATAAGGGATGAACTTAAAAAGTATTACATAGTTAATAATTCAAGAATAATGTGTAACTAAAGATAGTAATAAAAAAAAATTTTTTAATTATTATTATTCTGTAAGTAATTGAGTGGGTTATGATAAAAAAATCACCCTGTATATATATAAAGATTTTATATAATATCATTAAATTATCATTGACGTTAACGTGAAATCCGAATTTTTCTACTCACTTTAATACATAGTGGCTGCCTTAAGGCGACTATATCAACGCACCAGAAATAACTGATACGTTTATCCTCCTACATAAACAAAATATAATACACCTAATCGACCGACCCAAACACTCATTCACAGCCGTGACCACCACAAGTACTGCCAGTACACGAAAATCTGTGTGTACCTGATGATGACAATTGTCAAAACCAGTCCGTATAACACAATTTTTCATAATATTCACGGCTACTACAACTAACTCTACTTAATCTAGTTTAATACATATTATTATATATATTGTTGGGCACAAATTTGGATGCGGTTTCATTTTGTTTGGCGGTCTGGTGACTGGCAAGGCGGTCGGTGTTCATCTTGACCGCTTCTATTACTGTTCGAATTAATATTGGCCACACATCAATATACATTTTTTACAAAATGCTAATTTAATGTATCTCTCATTGTTCAAATATTTCAACAATGTTAGTCAAAAATAAACTCTCAACATTTTGTACCAGGAGAACCGAAACTGTAAAAGATCTTTAAAAAAAATTTACACAAAATTTTAAATTCAAACTACAATTTCAAAAAAATTAACTAATAAAAACTACAGCTAAATCTTTCTTTTTTTTTTTTGGTAGTGTGCTTCAAGATGGACATTTTAGGAAACCTAGGGCATATCAAATGGTAAGGTGATGGCAAAAGCTGTATAATACTACACTTTAAAATTATATCTAAATAGAACTGAATTCAAATAATCAAAATTAAAAGATTAATCCTTAAGATTAATCATTAATCCTAATAACGCCCTTTATTGTATAATATTATGTATTACATTGGATTTATACTGTTGAGGCCATAACTGCTCCAATAAACCATAATACTGTTAACTAATCTGCAACACTATTTTTCTTCAGATACCATTTTAAACTATTAATCATTCTAATAATTTAATAGATCAACTTAGTGCCAAAACACTTCCGAACAAACGCGACGTCTTAAACGCACCTGGTATAGAAACCTATTACCAAGCAACTGAAAAGATAAGTAAAAAAAGTCTTTAAAATTATATATCATTAACTAACGATATAAATACTTAACTTTTATTGTGAGGGGTTCTAATGTCAACTACCCATTCATTCTATTTATGTAATCAACTACTTTAACAAATTTACTTATTGTACACATTGTATATAATGTAAATATACAAATAAATAGAATATTAAAAAAAAACACGCACATTAAGTTTTTAAAAGAATTGAAATTAAATTTTAAAAAAATAGTTAAAAATATGTCATAGTATTAAAATTAAAAACCTTTTGTATATTCATTCGTCTGTGAATGGTTAAAACAAAAGTGCTTACTGAGAAAGAAAAACTATCTTTGAACAATTTAATTGTTGTTAACGATTCAGCTTAAAAGGCGTAACACTTGTAGAAGATTTTAATAACAGTATTAAACAAATAGGATTAAGACAAAACTCAAAATCAATTTTTATTAAAAGTAAGTAGTATTTTATTCGTTTTAAAAATATATTGTACATTAAAATAAACCAAGATTTCGTGTATATTACTTCAGATAGTATTCTCAATCGACAAAAAGTTCTTTGGCTACTCTTTGAATATTTAAACACAAAAATACATGATGGCAACATAAGCAAAAAATGTGTGTTAGATGAAATATCTATTCGTATACATTTTTATGTTATATTCTACTACAAAATTATTTCCATAAATATATACGTACGTTGATTTTAGAAAAAACTTACATTATTGATAAATAAAGTAAAACCTCGAGTGTATTACGTAAAATTTATTTAAGACATTTAAACATATTAATGTATTATTGAAATCGGACCTTTTTTATTTAATAAGGATCATAAAACTAAGCGTAGAAAAAACAAAAAATTACTGAATTAACATTAAATTTACCAGATTCGTATGATGACAAAAGCTAATCGAAAATTGAAAACTAGACATCGATTGACTTATTGACATCGATGATGGCAATTTCCACTTTATCAAATTTATACTTTTTTTTTTTTTTTATACAAAATTCATTGTTCTAATATAAATGAACTTTATAAAAAATATATATACATTACCCATTAAGGGTCATTAACGTGTGAACTTTATAACATATTCAATTAACCCATTTAAAGGTTTCAATTTTGAATTTATAGTAGTTGAAACTCTTGATTCACTGTCATTTAGCGTTTAATTATTTTATTATGACTATTATGTTTGAGAATAATTCATTGTATAAATATATTTTACATATAATCAATTTTATATAACAATGGAATGTATTAATATTCAAAATTTTATTTAAAAATTAATAGAAACCAAAAAAAAAAAAAAAATGTACAGTTCAATTAAAAAATAACATAGAATATAACCCTATGGCGTTTTAGCTTAAATTTGCTAGGAGAATAAATTAAAATATTACTAAATTTTAGATAATTCTAAATATTATTAAAACATATCCGGTATTAAAAGATTTTCTATTTATTAAGACATCTCATTGGAAATAACTGAACGTGCACCGAAGTTTCCGGTCGTGTGCGGAGTTTACTTCCTCTTCACCCTCGACAGTCGAAATATTAGCCTTTGCACAAGTGTTTCGATCAGAAACGATCTAGCTCAACGACAGTAAAAGTTAAAAAAATACCATAAATCATGCGTAGGTCATTACGTAACAATAAAAAATATATATATTACATCTAAAAAAAGTTTATATATCAGCGAACCCCTAAAAAAGTCGTTATAACCTCATAGGCCATTAGTCGAGTCCGTTAAAGCGGAAAAAAACACACACACAAAGGGGAACTCGAGCGGACAGTATGGAAAGGATAACACAAACAACGGCCGGGAATTTTTTTGTTTATACAAATCGAGGGGAATGTTTTAACTGCCCTTTTGTTCGCCATCTTTAGCGCTGGCTAAATTTCCGGGTGCTCAACTTCTTCGACTTCCTGACGGCCGTCCGTCATCCCGGATACCGTTTCTCGTTTATCACCAGCCAACGACGATGATCCCACCCATCATTTCAACTCATATCTCCCCAAATACACTCATATTATAAAACTATAATAACTATGTCGCGTGCTTTCGTTTTGTATGTACATAATCGTAATTAACAGCTAGTATACTTGATGGTAATGCTTTACGGGGTCGATACTATTTTTTAAGATAATACCTATTCACTTGAACATAAGTAGAGCGATACTAGTTGAATTGAATTGATAATTGAACTATTAAATCTACAATTAAATTATTATTAATTTTTCTTCGAGTTCTGATAAATTATTAACAATGATAAAAAACTATGTAAGATATCGTTTTTCGCATAATTTTAACACTATTATTATAGTTACATAAAGGACTACTGATTTTGCTGCTAATACATTTTTTCTAGATTATAATCTCGACAAAGAAATATAAAAGCAATAAAGAAATTCGAACAATTTGTTTTTAGTTGTAATAGGACGGATCATAGGGAGTTGGATCGTGAAAGAACATTATCTCAAATCTGAACCATATAATATATA